ATCCTCCTGACTCAGCCTCCTGAGCCCCTGGGATTACAGGTGTGAGCCACTGTAACTTGCCCTAACACTGCTTTGAATGGGATGATTTATTTGGTTAGGGACTAAAGGGAAAAAAAGATAGAAACTGAGTCAGCCACAAGAGAAGCTTGAGTGCAGGGTCAGTTACACAGCTGCCTCACAGTTTGCTCCATTTACGGTTTCCCTTTCATTTGGCTCAGAACAGGCTGGAATTTTCATAAATAACTTCTATGGAACTAAAGAAAAAAAAGAAAAAGAAAACAAAGAGATGGCAGATTCTGCACAATTCAGACTCTTGAACCCTATTTTAAACCAAAGTCGTGGCATGATTAGTTAGATGACACAGCTTCTTGTGTCCTATGTAGTTTCTGCTGTTAGCTTCACCTAGTCTGGATCATAGRTAAATATTAAACTATTTAAACTGTAAGAAGGAAGTAGATTTATGCTGGCCCAATTTGGAGGCCTAAGGGTGGAGAAGAATCAAGCACTCCTTGGTACTGATTGCTCTTGTTCTCCTCAGGTTGGAGCTGCAGATTACCCTACTGCTAGAATATTTGTACTTTAGCTAAGTAATTCTCTAATTACYCTGATGGTGGCCTGTCCGTTCAAACAGATTCCTCAACTGAGCTTTATGAGGAGAATCCACTTTTTTGCCTTTGCTTATTCTCCTTCACTGTCACTTATTTTCTCTGGCTGCTCCTCTCAGCACTGAATGCTATGCTGAAAACCCCATGTCTCCAGGCCCCACCCTGTTTGTTTCCTGAGAGAGAGAGAGAGAGAGACAGAGAGAGAGAGACAGAGAGAGAGAGAGAGACACAGAGAGAGAGAGAGAGACACAGAGAGAGAGAGAGAGAGAATTTTTTAATATTTATTTCTCGGCGGACACAACATCTTTGTCTGTATGTGGTGCTGAGGATCGAACCTGGGCCACACACATGCCAGGTGAGTGCGCTACCACTTGAGCCACATCCCCAGCCCCTGTTGCTTTCCTCTTCATCCCGTTTACCAACAGTGCACCCACTCTCCACTTATGTCTCCATGGGTTCTGCCCTTCAGTGATGCTCTTCTTTCCCTGGACAGCTGGGCTGTCCTCTGTGCAGCATTCACAGCCACCATTATTGTCTCTAGGGCCTTCTCTGTAACACATCACACAGCTGCTTTCTCTTCCTGTTTCAAAGTGTCTCCCTGTGGCTCCCCACGAGGTTTCCTRCCTGGTGGCTGTTTTCTATCTGGGCACATTTCCAGGGTGCTGACCTGCCTGCCTTTGGTTTAAGCCTTCCCAGTTTTAGGTTCCCAGCTTCATAGCTTCCTCCTATTCTCTGATGACTCAAATGARTCCTCAAGGGGGCTGCATGTGGTCCATTTCCCAGAAATCTAGGACCATTTTTTTATAGTCACAAAACTACTTTGAAGATAGAAGTAAAAATAAGATCCTTTCCAAAAGGAAGAGAAGAGTCATTCCCTGTGAGGCCTGTCTTGATCAGACAGGGACAATGGGGACAGGTTCTGTTTGAAACAAGTGAAGCAAAAGGGAGGGAGGTGGTTTCCATGGGGGCAGGTGTGCCAGGAATGCTGATGAGGGAGAAGATAAAAGACCCTCCTGTAGGAAAGGCTGTGAGTTTATATGAAGCAAAGAAAAAGTCTGGAATTTAACTCTTCTGTRTAATTAATATGAACTAATAAARTCAATCAATAAATGGTTTACCTGATAGTTCAGGGCTGAAGAGAAGTCCTTCCTCTCAAAAGCCTCCAGCATCTGGTTTGTCTTTTTTCCTAGGTAGTTATAGGTGCTGGCAAGACAACAGCAAACACTGCAGGGTCAGTAACTCAACTGGAAAGGTACAGATCTTCACCACTGCTGTTTAAAAAGGGGAAAAACAAAACAAAACAAAAAAACCCCAGACTGCCGTAAGTCTATTTTAGGTCCTAATCTATAGGGGACCAGGTTGTCTTTAGTTCTGAGCCCTCTAGCAACATAAAGCAGTGTCCTCAGAGAAGGCAGAGAACACCAAAAGGGACAAAGAAAAAAGAGAGAAAGGKTAAAATCAGGAAAAACAGAACAACAGAATGTAAAAGCTGGAGGTGTACTTGGTTGGGAATGATTAAGGCTRACACCTGCCTGCCCTAAGGGCACATGCAGGGGGAGATGCTAGGAAACTGTGGACAAAATGTAGCACCTGGGAAGAGTCCTAAAAGCCATCTGCTGAGAGCTGGGYGTGTGGAGCGCCACAGTAAGATGGGCAAATCCCAATAAAGTATCTAGATTCCTCTCCCACTTACATTATGTTAATTTGGAGACAGGATTCCAGAGAGTAGAGGATATAAAATGAAGGACCATTTGTTAAATGCCTATCATATTCCAGGGGCTTCACACAAATCAGATTTAGTCCTCTCAGAGCTCTGGAAGGTAATTCTGGTTTCTATTTTGCTCAAAAAAGGACTGCCTAGTTGCCGTGGAAGTGGTAGGAACAGGAGGGTAAGGGAATCAATCTACAAAATGGGCCCACAGTGCTGAGCCCCACAGGTTTTTTTAAAATTATTTTTTAGTTGTTGATAGACCTTTGTTAGTATTTTTTAATTTACTTATATTCGGTGCTGAGAATYGAACCCAGTGCCTCACATGTGCCAGGCAAGTGTGCTACCGCTGAGCCCCAGCCCCAGCCCCCAGGTTTTCACTTTCAAAAAGCATTTGCCTGAAGCCCTGCCTGGTGTAAGTYCACAGGATATGTTACATTCCTTAGTAAAAAAATTCCCTGTTATCTGCAGAAGAAATGCAGGCCCAGAAATGCACATAAGAGCAAAAATTACCCTCAAGAGAAGGATTTTTGTGACCCTTAAAGAGACCAAATCCCAGAACTTGAAGAGATAAGGATAATTTCCCCTAACCATAAAACCTGTAAGAACAGGTTCTGAATATGTCAAAATACACTTTAATGTCAGGTATATCTTTTTTTTTTTTTTTTTTTAATGGTGCTGGGGAGAAATTTAATTATAAATAACAGGGCCTTGTGCATGCCAGGCAAGTGCTCTACCAATTGAGCTATAACCCCAGCCTCTGTCAGGCATATCTTTAAAAAAGATTTTTTTTCAGCTGTTAATGGACCTTTTATTTTATTCATTTATTTATATGTGGTGCTGAGAAGCAAACCCAGTGCCTCACACACGCTAGGCAAGCCAYCACTGAGCCACAACCCCAGCCCCCATTGTTCTCTTTGGTTCCCATTTTCCTTGGGCAGTGTACTTTGTCGGAGAATAACTGTTTAGATGTTAGTAACCATTCTTTTTTTTTTTTTTTTTTTTGTACTAGGAATTGAATTCAGGGGCATTCAACCACTGAGCCACATCCCCTGCCCTATTTTATATTTTATTTAGGGACGGGGTCTCACCGAGTTGCTGAGCACCTCATCATTGCTGAGGCTGGCTTTGAACTTGAGATTCTCCTGCCTCAGCCTCCAGAGCTGCTGGGATTACAGGTGTGGGCCACGTGCCCAGCTTTAATAGCTATTCTTTAACTTGTACTCCACTAGGGTTACTTTGATCCATTTCTCTTTTGATTATGATTATGGAAAATCCCATGAGAAATACTGAATGATAATAAAAATAAGATGATTAAGGACATTGCATTGTTTCACTAATGGMTTTATTCAGCTTCTGTACTCCTGCTTGCTTGCTGGTTGCTGTGTCAACCTGGATGTGGTTTTTGCCTTTAAAAACCCTGATATGTTGAAGCTCAAGGCTGTTTCCTGCAGAGACAACTTGGTCCTATAGAGAGCARCCCTGGCCAGTCAGACAATAAAGACTCTTCAATTTGTACAAAACTGGGACTTGGTGTGTTTTCTGAGCGACCTGCCCCACAACAAACCCTGGACCTCTGGGGGACACTTGACTAGACCAGGCAGTGCTATTTAATGATATTCTAAGGGGCCATTTTTGGGCAGCAATGACTGGCCAGGGGCATGCTGAAGTAAAGAAAGCCCACCTGGAGAGAGAGAATGAGAAGAGAAATAAAGAGGTGGAAAGGAGGCAGAGTGAGGGTCTTGGGAAGAATCCAGATGCAGGATGACTTGCCTTGGCTGTTGACAACTCTGTAGTTCCTGGTTCCTCTCTAGGGTCTGGTTTTTCCTCCTCATGGTTTTATGTAATCTCTCATTACTTTATAATAATTTTCCTTTTTTTAAAAAAAAATCTAAGGTAGTTTGAGTGGGTTTCTGTTATTTATAATTAAATTTCTGACACAGACAATGTAAGTACATCCTTGAGACACTGATCATCAGGGTCTGCAGCACTAAGGGCTGAACCCAGGAGCTCATGTGTCTCATCTCTAACTGCAATGGAAGCTTCTACGTAAGGATGACCTAGTTTCTAACCAAYTGCTGAGCCCTACTTAATTCCCTTTCCCTGAACAAACATGGGAACAAAAGGTAACTTCTATTAGAAAGGATGTGTATGAAAGAAATAAAACTACTCCAGTGATGAGTGCCTTCCTGTGGGACTTTAAATGTATAATGGCTGAGACAAATGAGTCATGCTTACCTGCCCACTGCTCCAGTTGCTCCCATTACCAGACCACTCAACAGTTGCTAATGAGAAATAGACAAAGAGAATTCACTTTTAGGAAAAAGAGAAGAGAAACTCGAGTATATCAATCATTACCTGAACTGGAGGGAATCCGACTTGCTGTGTCAGGGGTGACTTACCTCATCCACCCCAAAGAGCAAAGAAAACTGTCGTTGGTGATTCTGATCAACACACTGGCCGAAGTCTAASAGATCTGTGTCACTGAATTTCAGCCCTTGGAAGGTGGGGATCTTATCCTGAATCCCATCCAACAATTCCTCTGCACGAACTGCTCAAAACAATAAATACCTCCTTAATCTACACAGCCTYAGAAAATATCAAACAACATTTCCTAGAGATCCACATCAGCCCTGAGCTGCCACTGGCTGCTGTCAGGTGGACTAGCTGTAGATGGCATAAAGGCTTGCCTCTGTCTAGTAGCTCCTAGGTACCTTTCAAATTATAATATTTAGCTTTCCATTCCTTGAGGGCATTCGATGGATATTTGTGACATTGTCAATACAACATTTGGTTTCTGCTCCCAATTCCTGCAACAGAGCTCCTGAAACCTTTGTAGACAGAGGTGCTAGGAGGAGTTATTGTTCTTATATTCTGTTTTTGACCCTGGTTTCTTACATATAGCTGCTAAGATGTTTGGAATTTCCTGAGTGATAGGTGCATCTGACCATTTTTAYATCCCTTAGAATTTTCTGGCTGATAGGAGCATTTTGTTTTAAGGAGTTGACTCCTGATGGGTTCTTAGACTCTGGATGCAGGTTGGTTGAAGACCATGTGATTAGAGGGTTGGGACTTTCGGTCCCATCCCTTAACCTCTGGGTAAGGGATGGGGTAGAAGATTGAATTGAACACCAATGGTCAATAATGTAATCAAGCATGTCTACCTAATAAAGCCAAAGGACAAGGTTTAGACAGCTTCTGAGTAGCAGAACGTGTGGAGGTTCCTRGTGGATGGCACTCCCAGAGAGGACATGAACTTTTGCTTACCCTTCCCACATGCCTTATCCTATGCATCTCTTCATCTGTATCCTTTGTAAGTCCCTTTGTAGTAAGTAGATAATAGGTAAAGAGTTTCCTTGAGTTCTATGAGTTGYGCTAGCAAATTAATCACACATGAGGAGGGAGTTGTGGGAACCCCAACTTATTACCAGTTGATCAGAATCACAGGTCACAACCTGGGACCTGAGCCGGCATATAAAGTGGGGACAGTTATGGGACTGAGCCCGTGGGATCTGATGCTAACATGAGGCAGACAGTGTCAAAATATAATTAAACTACTAGAAACCCAGTTAGTCTCCAGTGGAGAACCTGCTGTTAGGTAGGGAGAAATCCATGACCCCCCCACCCCATTCCATGTTGGTGACCAGAGGTGACATGTTTGGTAGTATGTGATGAGTGTGAGAGGAAAGAATGGGAAAAACTGTTTTTTTCCTTTGAATGTTTATAATGCATAGCCTTCCATTTTTCTTTTGTGGAATTTGGAAAAGGAGGGGCTTTAAAAACTAATCTCCTAACAAATTTCATCTAATTGTAAAAGTCTTCTCCCTGGAGAAGAACAGTAGAAATGAAAGAAAACTAGAAGAAAATTCAGAAAAGAATTCAGTACCTTGGCTGTGGGGAGGCACTGAGAGTGCAGGAGGTAGAAGGCAGACGCAGTCCTGCCCTGTGGGGCTTTTGGTCTTGGATCTTCTCATATGAGAAGAAAGAGGTGTTTGCTGTTAAGGGCTGAGAGGTCAGTCCTTCTTTCATGCCTAAGAACTGGCACCATGAGGTGGTGTGAATCATGGCAGAGGGCTGGGTATTAGAGGGACTCACTTTGGAGTAACTGAAGCTGCCTCATCAATGGTGCTTATGAGTAGCGTGGGATGGAGTGGGGCTTTCTTGGGGTAAGGGTTGGAGGAAGCGTCAAGAGAACCAGTACTTACTCTTTACCCCCGTCAAGGCAGGAATGTGATAGTAATAGAATGGCAATGCAGGGGCAGATGCTGCCACCTCTTTTAGAAAATTAATCAGGACATCTGAAAGTACAGGAGGAAATGTCATGGCGTGAACAAATGGAAAATAGTGGCTTTCCCTGGCCAAAAAAAAAAAAAAAAAGAAAAAGAACAAAAAATCATCTGATGGACACACCATCCTTCACAGAAGCTGAGCAGTCCTGATCACACCTAGCTTTTCTGACATTGCTACTGCAGTTATCTTAACATCTCAATCCATTCAAAGTTTTATATCCCTCTCTGAAGAAAGGCTCAAATAAGATGATTATTTTCTTCCTATACATATTCAACAACTATTAAAAAATTGGGGCTGGAGGTGTAGCTCAGCAACAGAGTGCATACCTAGCATGGGAYTGATTCCCAGAGCATGAGTGTGCCCGCATGCGCGTGCACGCGCGCGCGCACACACACGGAGCAAAATATTAGTGCAAACTTACCCATGCTTAAGAGACTGAAAAGACAAATTCTAGTAAAAATCAAAATGCCCATCACTAGAATGCTTCTCTCTYGAGAAAAACAGTCCCATACATTGCCCTGGGTCTGACACCCTAGGCTACTGTCTAAGGCAGAAGTGGACACCTGACCCAAACATAGGCAYGTACCAACTGAGGCTCAGTAGACAACTCAATCAGATTACTTGGTGAAACAACTGAAGTACTTTAATACAATCTCTGCTGTGGATCTAGGGGTAGAAAATATTCCAGAGAACCACTGTACCACTGCCATCTCCAGTCTGAGATAAGTTTAAACTTCATGAGTTTAAACACAGTCTTTCTGAATGGAAGCAAGGAGTAGACAGCGCAAGGCACTGCGYATTCAGAGCCATCTACTTACCCTTGTTCCACGGTTTGAGAAAGAAAGGTGCAATGACAGCAATGCCATCAGCTCCAATTTCTGCTGCATGCTGGGCCTTTGTAATGAGAGAAGATCATACTAGTGACCATCAGTGATTTATCACAGTCACCTACAGTTTAGATATTAGAGTTCAGCAACAAATTCTTCAAATTTGCCAACTAATGCACCAGTAGAGAGTGGAAACAATGATTGAATATAATGAAAATGTCATTGCTAGGAAAATCCTAGGATGCAAACTAGAGATGCCAGGTAGAGGTAAGCTGGGTATTTAATCTTACAAATATTTGGATTTTTTCAGTACAAAACACCTTGCTGAGGAGACATGAGTAGTTTATTATAACTGTTAACAGAGAAATTTCGGTATGTAATCTCTACTGTTCAGCCTACTGTATCATATTATCTTTCCCATCTAATGGCATGGCAGTCAAGTTTAATATTTATATTACAAATTGAGAGTACAGTTGAGAAAGTTAAAAGAAAAAGATTATACACACCACAAAAGACACATTGCACTAAGCTTCTAATGCTTCATCAAATTTCTCTTACTGGGCCTTTGTGATATTTTTAATCTATCTCAAGTAGAGTACCTAAACTCTCCATATTGTAAGAGAGTTGTGTATGGTCACTTTATACTCTACAGAGCCTGCTTCTCAATGGTGGCTTCCTAAGGTGCCACACCTATCTCCTCCAGCACAGCGTCCACTACGTACCATATACCACATATAGTACTGCAAGTAATTTCATCATAAAAACGGAGGTCCCTTGAGTGGTCTCTCCAAAGTGGAACAGCATACATACCAGTTCTTGGGACTCCTTCAAGCTCAGTGCCCCCACGTGAATCACCACCTGATCCAGCCTGCAAGGAAGAAAACATTGATGAGTTATTTGAAGTTTAGAAGAACACAGAGGGCTCCACCAATCTGGTTTGTGCTAGTTTTAGCAGTTAGTTAATGCCTTACTAGTCTCAATAGCAAGACTATTAAAATTCTACAGTGATCTAGCGCTTAATCACTCAGCCACATCCTCCTTTTTTTTTTTTTTTTAGAGAGAGAGAGAGAGAGAGAGAGAGAGAGAGAGTGTTTTAATATTTACATTTTAGTTTTCGGTAAACACAACATCTTTGTTTGTATGTGGTGCTGAGGATCGAACCCGGGCCGCACACATGCCAGGCAAGCACGCTACCACTTGAGCCACATCCCCAGCCCCTGATCTTTTTTTTAAATAAAAAATATTTAATACAAAAATCATAATAAAATTAAAAAGTATTAACTGCATTACAAAGTGTAAGCACTAAAAGGTTACAAAGCTTTTAACTTAGTATTTATAAAAACAAGGCAAGAATGTATCTCATTTGTCCTCAGTAAATAAGCTGGCCACTAAAGTTATTTTAAATTGTCCCTTTCTTCCCATTTTATGAAAGCTCATTAGATACTGCTATTGAAACACCTGGCAATGTTTAAGTTTTCTCTATACTGGCAGTTTTAAGCTACCTATTAAGTGTATTTAAAAAGAGGATTTTTGTACATCAAGACCAACGATAGCAAAGCAGTTCTCTCAGGATAGAAAGGCCATCTAAACTAACTCACACTTCACTCAAGACACCTGGAAACAGAATGCTTTCCTAGTCAAGAGCTTCACAGCAAGGACAGAATAGAAACATCCAGAAAAGGGCCTGTGGTAAACAATACAGGCTCTGCTAGGTAGGCACAAAGAACTCGTGATCAGCATCCCGGACACCCCAGAGCTTAGTCTACCAAAAGCCTAACAGCTTCTAATAGCTTCTTCAAGGTGTWATAGTTTACATCTGGAATGCCCCCAAAGTCTCACATGATAGAGGCTTGGTGCCCAATGCAACARTGTTCAGAGGTGAGGCTTTTGGGAAGTGACTGGGTCATGGGGGCTCTGAGCTCCTCAATGGATTAGTCTACTGACGGGTTCATTGGGATGCCTGGCAAAGGTAAACTACGGGACCCCTGGGATGTGGTGGAATCTGTAGGAGGTGGGGCCTCCTACAGGAAGTAGGTCACATATCTTGTCCCTGACCCCTTGATTTCTCAAGGTCTCCTGCCTGTGATGAGGTGAGCGGATTTGCTCCACTGTATGCTTCTGGCCAAAATGCCCTATCTCACCATGGGCCCAGAAGCAATGAAGCCAGGTGACAATGGACTGAAATTGCTAAAACTCTGAGCCAAAATAGATCTTTTGTCCCTTAAGTTGMTATTTCTCAGGTATGTGGTCATAGTGACAGAAAGCTGACCAACACACAAGGCAACAATAGATTTTAAAGTTGTTCCTCTATACTTGTTTTTTTTTTTTCAATGCTGGGGATTGAACCCAGGACTTTGTGCATATGAGGCATGCACTCTACCAACTGAGCTATATTCTCAGCCCCTGTTCCCCTACACGTGATCCTTTTAACAAACCACAAGTAGAAAAGGTTGGTGTGTAGGCTCATTTTATAGATAAGAAAAACAGAATTAAAAAGTTCCAGACTAGGGGGCTAGGGGCATACCTCAGAKGTAGAATACTTGCCTAGCATGTGCAAAGCCTGGGTTCAGGACCACATAAAACAATAAATAAAAAAAAAATTAATTAATTTTAAGACTGAGACTCCAAGTTGGTGGGATAATTTTACTGCATCTCTATCCGACAAGAGGCACTTAATAGCACTTAGCTATAGACTAACGAGCTCTGTTCAGAGAGTCTCTATGACTTTCCTGAACCAAGTGCTGAGGAGGCCAAGAAATGTTTCATTTCCCCTTTAAAACATTTTCTATTGGTTTTAAAGGGGAAAAGAACAAAAGAGAGACTTTTGATTGGTATTAAAAGTGGAAAAAATGAGGCCAACTACAGGGAAAAAGAACCATCCTCCCAAAGGAAAAGGGAAGGCTGACCTCAATCTCAGTGCTGAGAGACAGGGAGCTAATCCCCATCCCCCCTTGGCACACAAAGGAAGCCTCAACTTCGAACTGCCATCTTACTAGACAACAGCTTTGACTTCTCCGCTTCCTCTGCCAAAGAACATTCCCCAAGAATGAAAGAGGAATCTCATGCAAAGATACTGTAGTTAAAACCATTCAGGGTGATATGCCAACATCCAGAAATAGKAACTCTGAACTAAGAGGATAAAAGCGACAGTAAGGGGGAGGAAGGGAAGTGTCTATTGACATCAGTTACCACTGTAAGGCCTTAAGAATACAGCCCTGGACCTGGTGTGGGGGTGCAGGCCTGTAACCCAGAAACTCGGGAGGCTGAGGTAGGAGGACCATAAGTTTGAGGTGGCCTCAGCAACTTGKTGAGAAGGGCCATGGATGCAGCTCTGTGKTGAATAGAGCTCTCAAATACTATAAAAATTGGGAAAATAGTAAAGACAGGAATCTGAGGAATTTAAAAAAATGTCCAGGGAATAAAATTTAAGGGTTAGCCAAGCAGTGAAATTTTGAGAATTAATAACTGATTAATCAATACTTGAGGACTTATTTTGATCAAGCATAGCCCCATATTTKACAGTGTCATAAGGAAGATGATAGGTAAAATTTTGACATATTTTTGTTTGGAGATAAAGATGAAGAGGTTCTTCCAAGATCATAACTAGGAATTAGTCTAACGAGAAATGAATTCACTGTAAAAAGCTGTTTCTTATCATTTAAGCCTCAGAATTTGACCAGAAGAGATGTTTGCTCYGAGATCCCAATATTCATCTTTGGGGGTGCTCCATGTGACCCTGGGGGAACAGCAACAGTGAGACTGGTCTTCTGTGGGCAGGATTAGCAAAGCTTGGTTGTGAATTYCATCACTGAATCCTCTGGTGATCGTTGGCTTGCTGAATCCTGGGCCTTGCTGGGAAGTGACATGGTCAGGTTTGCATTTCAAAAGAATAGTAAGACTTCAAAGTGGAGGAAGGAAGGCTGACAGGCTGTTCTGCCCTCATTAGTAGTTTTTTTTTTTTCCCCTTTTTTGCAGAGCTGGGGATTGAACCCAGGGCCTCACACTTGCTAGGTAAGTTCTCTACCACTGAGCCGCATCCCCAGCCCTCACCAGCAGGAGGCTCCCTCCCTGAGACGGAAAGGGACATGAACTGTTCAGTACCAGAGCTGGGCAGCCAGCTGTCAGTCACCACCCTCTAATCCACTTACCCCTTCATCCCAAGGACAGGTARCCCTGAGGGGACTGGCCTTACGAGGACAAGGACAAGAGGCCATTTTCCAATAGTTTGCCAAGCAGTCTGGCAAGAAAGGAATGCAGTCTCCACAAGAAAGGAAGGGCTCACCTCGCTGAGGTGCAGGATGTCCTGGGCCCCTGCTCAGCTGACCTCCAGCTGGCTTCTGATCTCTGATGGGTGGTGGGGAGGCAGTGTCCCTGGGGAGGGCCTCAGCCAGCACAGGTCTGGCTGGCATACTATGTTTTATCTCCACGGAGCCACTTACTTGTTCCTCCCTTGTGTCACCCACTCCTCTGCGACCTGGCGACGTTCAGAGACACTCAGGGACAGGCCTTCTCCAGTAGTGCCATTCACTGTTCCAAACAAAGARTCACTCAGTGGGACCAACTCCTGCCTTCTGCTCCTCCAACCCCAAGGACAGAAGTGCAGGGTCACAGATCCCTGCCCAAGGGGGAGGGACACCGAGCTATCAGAGGATGGAGGGGAAGATGCCATGTGCCAGTTTCCACTTCAGGCTCCAGGTTTTTCTGCCCTTCACTTTATCCAAGCAGTGGGAAGATTAATTGAGACTTGCAATTACATGTCTGTCCTTGTTATCAGGGGCAGATGGCAAATGTTTTAAGTAGAGGAGATAACTACCCACATTTAGGCCAATCTCCAAACACATCACCCAGTTCTCTCTCTGGGCTTACAGGGCAGGAAAATCAACTCTATCCAGTATTGGCAGGTCATGGGCGGGGAGCCTATGTGGGTGCATTTGCATGCTGCARATGCCAAGGGACCTGTTCACAGTCTGACAGTGAGCACAAGGGGTGGCAATAACTTTTGTACCAAAGAACTCAATATTCCCTTATTCTCACAGTCCAACAAAGCCGACATTCTTTTCAATTACAGTAGAAAATATGAGGTCAGARACATGAAATAATTTAAACTTGAACCCAGAGCTGTGTGATTCTGGAACTCATCCTCCTTCCTCTTCC